CATATCTCTTAAATACTTTGACTGATTATATTCAAATTTTATATATTCGTTATACATCATTATATATATATATATATATATATATATATATACATGTATTCAAAATGGCTGATTTTGAATGCTGTTCCAGAGCAATATCTCTCAATATGGACTAGTACTTGTTTGAGGATCAGATACAAATGTCAATCATTTTAATGTTAAAAAAATCATATTCCTGACATGGTTATATTCCAGCTATATTACTATAAACATAACTATATATCTCAAATTTGATAACTAACGGGGACTGTGCCATGCATGGCTTGTTACATTTTGGAGCTGTAGTTTGACATTGATTTAAAGTGCCTGTGCAATGCCCACCCTCACGTTTCCCATTTTAGATCTGTGTCCCACTGAAATGGGCAGTTATTGATTTTTTTGCTGAAAATGATTACTCGTATCCAAGTAAATTTGGGATGTTTCTCGTGTTGTAGCCACGCCCACCTATCCTGAAACGGTCGACTGTTTCCGGATTTCCGACTCTCCCGAAAGTGCGCCACCAAATGACAAAATGTGAGAGGAAGTCATACCCCTGAGCATTAATAACACTGGTCGTTCAGTATACTTTTAAACGATATACATTTTTCGGTCAGCGTTTTTTCTTTTTTTTTGTCTATTTTATTTTTTTTTTGAGAGAGAGTTTTTAGATGTTGTGTTGTGGACAGTTGCAGTGAAACGTATAGTCATAGTGTATGTATTCACACATTTCTAGTCGATCTGAAGGTGCGACATCAGTGGACTAAAGCCACTTAACCTCAGATTCTTTTTTTTTGTTTTGGAAAAACTGTCCTCATCCATGAAAAAAACACAACTAGGTTTAAAGAGAAACGCGGACAACGTAAACCTGGTGCAACACTTTTGAAAGAAATAGATTCCGGACCAGCCTATGATCACCGAGGCGGATTTCAGAAGAGAGAGAGACGTCCGGCAAGTGTTTCAAATGGGTTGACTTTTTTGGCGACCCTGATTATTGTTTTATAGAGACCATTTAGTTCCTCAGTGTTAAGTAAAAGGTAGCAATAATTTTGACAGTGACACGAAAACGAAGCGTCGGGCAAACAGGAAATTACACAGCCCTTACACACTGCTAAATGTTTTCATTTTCGAAGGCTAAAAGTGTCTGAATTGTTTGGTGATTGGTGTTGAAGGTCGAATTCACACCTCTGTTCTTTTTTTACCTCCATGCTTGCAGCTTGATCTGCGTAATAATTTATGAAATAAGAATCTGGGCTTGGTCAATGTCAATCATGCCATGGATCACGCTAACTCGAATCCACTCAGAATTTATCTGTATGAGTGTTGATCTTGATTATTTTTGTTATCCAATTAAACGCCACTTTTAACGCACTTGCCCTCGTCGTGACCCAACGCGTTTACCTATTTCAACAAAATGTCAATTTATTTCCACGCAGCTGTCATTTATTTAGTAACTGTGATTTGTCATTTTTTTTTAATTATTTTATAGTGTTTAGAATGTCAAAACATGTTCTCTTTTATTTTAATTTTGAAAGTTTTACTCAGGCGATCGATGAAATAAAACAGTGTAGTGACGTGCCGAGTAACCTGCTAAATAACGAGATAATTCCGACGTCAAATTCTATTTTGTCCAGCGACAGTGTACAAACGTGCGCCGGTGTCGGTGACAATCACGGTGACCAGTTACACCAGAACGAACATATTTCGCATCTAACTCAACCCCATGCAACAAAAATTGATACTATGTGTTCATTATGGTCCATTCTTCGACGAACAAATACATAAGTGACAATTCATTCAAAGACGAGAAAACTGCACAAGAAATTTGCCTTATTTACACGTATCGGCAATGCAAGCTGCCATGCGACTTCCCCTTCTGACGTCACAAGGGGAATTTCTGTATGCAAATGAGAAGCTAATGAGGAGCCTCATTTTAAAATACACAAAAATTAAGTTGCCGTAGACTGAGTTTAAAACACATTTTTTCACTTAAAAAAATAACTCATGTTTAGAAACATAAAAATTAATAATATTTATGTATCAATGAATAATTTCACAGGCACATTTCACAGGCACTTTAAGCTTTAAATTTAATTAATGACAACACATACCATTTC